AAAAAAAAAAAAAACTGCAACAGATCGATGCTACTACAGCAATATAAATTTTTATCAATTCATTGAAACTGAAAGTAAAACTCATTGAAAATTGAACTTAAAATGGGAACGAATCAAAAGTGATATATTTTATGTCAATTGAGCATATCGCTATTACAGAAATATAAATTTTTATCAATTCATTGAAACTGAATCATGCGGAAAGAATGCTCACTCATTTTTTAAAATGACTTTCTTAAATTTAAATTTCACTATTTCATAGTTGCAGTGAAATCAATGAATAAAGCTTTTAAATTATTGAGGTATTTCTAATAAAGAAGCTGACAAATCAATTGAAAATAGCTTCGCTTATTCATTGAACCTGACGACTTAATTGATTACCATGAGTCAAATTTTAAAATTTAAAAAAAGAAACACATACACAGATGTATTGTTCAGCCCACGATATTTCTTTTTTCTGAATTAAACACAGGCTAATTTCGGAAATATTTATTTTTAAAATTGAATAGTATTTTCAAGGTAAAATAAAAAAGATGATGCAGAAAGTGATGAAAAGAACACGAAGTACAACAACAATGTAATCAATTTAACAGCAAAAAAAATTAGCATCGAGAGAAGGAAATTAATTGCACCACATTAATTAAATCAGAGACAATCGGTCCAGTGATCGGAACAACTTCAGACATTTTCATTTGAGATGAAAAATGCATATCCAAAAAGATAAAGAACAAATGTGATAATTCATTGTTCAGCAAGAATAAATTTCAAAATCTTTGACAAAAAAGGTTGAAGGCATTTTTGAAAAAGTGAAGCAAACAGATGGCATCAAAAAGACCGAAACAATATAATTTTTTTTTCTTTTCTCTCCAAAATATAATAATCATTTCAAAAAATTACCTTTATGTCGCACGGCAAATGGTGCAATTTTTCAGATTTTTTCCAGTGAAAATATTATGAGGAATTTGAAAATTAAAAATATATTTGAACTTTATCCGTGTCTGATTTTCTTGGTACTGTCTATTCCAATGAACAATCACATATCCTTGTACAGGTGTAAAAATACAACTGAGAGTGGAAACGTATCTTATTTTACCTTTCCTCACGTACATATTATTTAGAAGGGAAGTTTGTACAGAAAGGAAAAAAAATGACCAATCTGAGAAATTGGAAAGAGAGAGGGAAAGCAGTTTCATTCATGCTATGCGCAATTTGCAGTTTTTAAACCATATCGGTATATAACCTAAATTTGATTTTATATAAATATAGAAATTTAGATCTGAACGCATTAGATCACACTGTACAAATAATATCGAATACCGAAAATTAGTTTGCTAAACTAAAGGCGGAAATGTGACTTCATATATTACGACAATCATGACATTGCTTCTTGCAGATCTTTAATTTGAATATTCCATCAATACGTCATCACAAAAATCGTCGAAATTTAGAGTCTGAAAAATCGGATGAATTTATTCTTTCGTGCTACTATACTAAAGCTACTCAAATTATTAAATCTCATGTCCCAGAGAAATCCTCAGTCACAAGTCCATCATAAAGTAATTCATATGCACATCACAAAGAATAGAAAATTTTCACCTATCTCTTCCGCAATATAAAATTTCTCCAATGCCCAAAAACTTGCCTAAATCGAGAGTACCAATCAGTTCAACTCATTTGAATAAGAAAAACGGAGGAAAAACTGCAAAGTGCTGTGAAAACTTGCTCAACTTTTGAATCCAGAACAAACACACTTCACATTCAGTAAGATTAATCTGCTTATGATTTTCGGGAGATTAAAATGGTTATACACCAGAAAATCGTAAAATATGGGTTACAGTTCAGAGCAGACCCGTAAATCTTCCGATAAATTATCATAAAGAAAAAGCTAACACCTGCGGTCAAAACAGAATCTTTTAAAAGGTGAGATTCTAAGTTTTCCTGAATGAAACTGTCATAACATGCCAAATAAATATGAAAAGACCGGATATACCTGCAGTTAGTGATAAAATAAAGCAACGGGAATGAAGGAAATTTCTTCCACAATTTATTACGCTTTAACAGCTGCTCCACAGTCACACTGCTCGATTTTTATTTCCTCCGAATAAGCTGATAATTTACTGATATTTAAATAAGTAAGTCTAACGAGACACTTTGAAAATAAGAAAAAAAAGGATACAGAAAGATCCAAGTTTTGATTCTCATTAAGTTCGGAGCAAAATTTTAGTTTCCCAGTTTGCATTGATTGCCCCTCAATCAGCGAATACAACTTATAAGTTTTTATATGACGAAGCAAAAGATCATTAATCCTTTAATGATGCATTTGTCATTTCTGTCGTAGAAATAAGCCAACACATAAATTAGTCATTGCTTTCACAATTAATGTTTATCAATTTTACATGACGAATACGAAAAAAAAAATGTTATCACTACCGCGCCTACGAATGTCAGCCCCACCAAACACTGTATAACTCATAAATTTATGAAATGCCGCAATCCAATAAAGGACATCTAAACTGAACGACCTATGTAAACAACTGGCTCGATGTATCAAAATGTGGAGATGCAAATAGTGATTGCATTGACATGACCAATTTTGATAAAGTAAAGAAATACTAAAATAAAATAAAAAAGAGGTGAATAAGTTCAGTTTTATTTGCATAGGGGTAACATCAATTTTATATCCAAAAACACAGTTTGCAATCCGTAAACCCACGTATTATGTAAATTTGTTAAGCAGGACTAACGTAACAAAACTTTCATCCAATGCAAGCATGTACTTGAATTAACCAGCTTTAACTTATTATTAAACATGTAATCATAAAAATCTTGAGACATTTATCAGGTCTATATAATTTTGAATCCGTCGAAGATTAAAATTTCCTATATAAATTACACTTCTTTTTAACAAGTGCTATTTTAAGAACAGCACTTCTATTCCGTGATTGAATTGTTACAAAATAGCAATACTTAATATAAAACAGTGCAATGTAGGCACTATGCTGCTAAATAGTTTACTAGAGGGATTACAAAGAAATTAAGGAACAAAATTACATTACGAAACAAAATTAAACAGTCTTTAAGTTAAACAAGTAACTTGAATACTTAGCAAAATAATCGCCAACTTGTGAGACAAATATGTTTTATCATACAGTGCCTTAATTAAATGGTAAGCAAAACGAATGAACAAATTTTAAGCACTACTGAAATATTAAACAATGTTTTTGTTAAAAGCTATTATACAAATGATGATATGAAAGAATGTTTAACTTTCTGATCATGAAGTACGAATTAACACAGGTAATGAAGAGAATGGAATAAGTGGAGTTGATGAGTTAAGAGCTGAGGCGATCGAATAACATTCCAAAGCTTCTTCAAAACGTCCATCTTCCGATAAGATCATCCCAAGAGCTTGCCATGAGTCATTGTGCAGTGGGTCAATCTGTACAACATCCCTGAAGAAAATGCAAACTTCAAATCGCCTAAATAAAATAGGGTACAGATGAAAGTATTCAACACAAGTGAAAGTTTCAGAACAAATAAATGTAACGAAATTATCTGACTTATAACTGGTCAGGTATCTTATAAAATAAATCTAAGTAAATAAAGTATCTTTATTTCTTCGCAAAAAATTTATTAATTCTCACTTAACATGATTTTGATGATATGAACAAAAATTATAAGATCATAAAGATTCCATTAAATAGATAAATGTCCAGCTTATTTTACTTAAAAAAACTACAGTAGTCAGTTCAAAAAAATTCCTACCCTTTTTTATCACATATAAAGTGCACGCAATCTCTGACTACTTCAAATAACAGTACCCTCATATGGTTAATAATTTTATTAATTTTAAGTTAATTTGATTTTAATAGTACTTCAAATAACACTATCCATTACTAACCTTAACATTTTCTCAGCTATAGGAATATTTCCTTCCAATCTGTAAATATGTGCTAGATGTCGCAAAGACGAGACATGAGAAGGTGCTATTGCAAGCGCTCCCAGCAGAGATGCCTTTGCATCACTTCGTAAATGCTCACATTTCGCGGTATTCTCACACTTAGCCGCTCGAGCTGCTAATAAACGGCCCTGAAACGGAAACTGCTGGTAATAATTTTGATGAAACATAAAAAAACGACAATATAAAAGACTGCCATGTGCAAAATAAAGGATCGTTTCCAATTTTCCCACTAATATAGTTTAAAATAAATGCAATTTGCATAAGATAATCTCATTAAAAGATCTCATTACAGATCGAAACCTTGATATAGAGTGCCTGATGTGAACTTGGGTATAAAACAGACGCCTCCTCAATGCACGATCGTACATCCTCCATACGATCCAGATCGAGAAAAAGTTCAGCAAGTTCTAGCCAAATATTAGCCTACAAAGAATAAAAAGCTCGCACAGAACTTTGTGATACGAATATATAACGGCAAAACTGCAAAAATTATGATAGCGGAGCAAGAGGAAAAAAAGCAAGATTTAGAAAAATGATTCTCACAAAATAGGCAAGAGAAAAATTACTGAAAGGAATTAATGAAAGAAAATAAATACCTTCATCATGAAATGTGTTTCTACGGTTCTTGATTGTCTCGAGCACAATGAAACAGTTGAGGTTCCATAATCTGATGTTCCCTGAGTTGTATATACAGATCCGCTATCTAAATTACATGAATTATATAAACAAGGTGAACACATAAAAGCTCCGTGGATTTGTAGTACTTTCGATGCAGAGAAAAATAATTTATACAATAAGGATGATCAACTGGAAGTGAATTAGGGAATTTCTAGAATTTCACAATAAAGTTGACTTGCAATTTCAAGAAGCAATATCATCTGTTACAAGCAATTTACTCTCCTACATTTTACATTTTAACTGAACAAAATAGGGCTCACCGGCAGCATCGCCGGTCCCAACACTAGGAGACATATTTGTAAGCGCAGAGGATGACAAAATACCCAATGAAGCAGCGGCAATGAACGGTGTTGCGGTTACAGCATCACGACTGCTTACTGAACGTAGTAAACTTTCATTCCGTCCATTTCTTGGATTTTCTTCGCTTCCTGAAATGAAGATCGGTGTATTCAATACTCTAATCTCAGCAGACTTGTAATCAGCAGGTTTCAGACTACCTATATCAATCTGTAATGACGCCACGGTAAAAATATATAAAAATGGTGTTAATCTCAAGATTTTTGCATTTTTTTCATTTTCGAAAATAATACACCTACACTACGCATATTTGCAAACTATGAAGAAAATAAAGAATTTAAAATCAAAAACAACAGTATACCAGTTCGTGTAATGTTTGCATTGGGTTCTTCGAAAAGATTCGTCTCTCGACTTTTCCAGAAATACAGTAAATGCTGTGATGATGCCAAGGCTTCATCAACACGACCTATTTAGAAAATAATTAACAAATCTGTAATTCTCCACAGTAATATAGTGAAGTGTTTCATCCCGTTAACTATTATATTTTGAAATGAATAACGGTATGAAATACGATAACATCTAAATAAATCGTATGTTATTACTTAGACAAATAATAATAACAATTATAAAAAATGCACGACAATAAGCAAAATCAAGTGAAAGCAATATTAGTTTTTCGTACTTCTTCAGAAGAATAAAATTTACCGAATTTAACTTCAAGCATTAATTTAAGCACAGTAAGTGGATAATTGGTCGGAAAATCCTCTAAGGCGTCGATAATCAATTCGAGTGCCGCTTTGTAATCTTTTTGGGCAGTAAAAATTAATGCAAGAAGCATTATAGCGGGCGGCATTTCTGGATTCAATTCCAGGGTTCTTTCACACCAATCACGAGCTACTTGTAAGTCGCGGGCTGAAAAAACATTTTCAAAACTGAAAAAAGAAAATGGAAGTCCAAACTTTAAGTTTTCTCTTTTCAAGGATAAATAGTGAATTTTTTCTGACAAAAGCGCAGTATATGTCATTCGCAACTATTGAATAATGAGCCTGTATCTTGAGAACAAATTATTAAATTCTATCGCTCTTTTTTACAGTTCAACAACTGAATGTGACAACTTGAGAAATTAAAACATTGTAGTCAATAAATATTTCAAAAATTTTGTTAGGAACAAATAGAAATTCCTTACCGATAGCATACTGCCGGGCACAGCAATAATGAATTATGTCATCATGTGGATCCATTGCTGCAGCATTTTCAAATAATTTTATTACTTCCAAGCGCATTTCATTTCGACTGTTGTACCGAACTATCGTTTCTGCTTTCATGCTTCAAATATGCTTCAAATAGCTCTTTAATTTCGAATTGAAAAATTATGGAATCACGCTCCAAAATGAGGCGAACCGCTTTTTGGAGAATCATGAAACAGTATATTTCTGCATAATCTTTTGGTCACTGTGCAAACAAAATAATGTTTGATGATAGGTTCTCATTTTTCAAAATCTTGATTTTATCCTAGCAAAAACAGAGATCTTTTTCAACAAAACTTTTAAGATCTTTAGGTAAATAAATGATTCTGAAGCTTAAAACTTGACAAATATACGCAAAGAAGTGCAATAAATAGATTACTCTATTTCAATTACTGATTCATACCTCATTGCAATAGCTTTTAACAGCATACACCGCCCAGAAAGCCAATTTCCTTCACATAATTCGATAGCTTTTTCAGCATGAATTATAGCTGAAACAAGATCACAAAACATTCGTTTGCAGGAAAAAATCAACACAAATATGTCCGGGTCATTCAAATATATTTATTTGAAAGATGGCTAGATTATAGACAACAGCCCTTTTCAAAAAGCACTTATCTTTATGTTTGACTTAAAAAATTCTTGCACAATAAAGTCCAGAATATTCAAACTGGTTAATGCTCCTCCATTAAAAAACAACTATTGTAAAACATACAAAATTCAAAGATTTCTTTACAAAACAACTTTCTTTCTCCCTTACCTTCATCATACTGTCCAAGGTGCTCAAGTGCAACACTAGCAGCAAAAATATGCTGTGCAAGCGCATTATCATCATACTGTTCGATAGCTAAGCATTGTGACAAGATCCTTGAAGCCCTCACATATCTTCCATGGCAAAGTAACGTCAAGGCAAACTGGAACCTAGAGAAGTGAACAAAATTTTTAGGACAATTGAAAATATCTAGAAGAATATTGAAATTTTGCAGAAAAAGATGAATTTACTTACCATAAATACTTGTCTTCATTTGCAAATTTCATTGCTTTTTCATGAATACTTGATAAAAGTTCGTACTGTCGCAGAGCCGACAACACCTAAATTCAGCTCGTCAGTATTTTTTCTAGAAATGCTTATAATAATTTGTCAGTAATGATTTGAGAAAGGATATTGCTGTTTGAGATGTAGATGCAGAATTTTAACAGTGCTGCATATCCTACAATGCACTAAGGAGATTTTTTAGTGGAGTAATTAGAGCTGCAAACCGGAAAATATCTGTTGCTGAAAAAGGACTAAAAAGATAAAAGCTAACATTCAGCTTCATAAGTACAGAAGAATGGATCTAACAGCTTGAGTAGCATTAGAGTTGCTGTGCTCATTGTGTAAGACAATTCTGAGGAATTTCGAAACTAATGGTTTAATTTTAGTTCTCCAGTAAGCATTAATCTAAACTCAGTTATCGTTTTTCCGACATAATTTTTGATTTTGACGCTCCAATGCCTGACAGCAGAATTCTCGCAGATTATGAAAGATCAAGAGATCAAGAGATTGTGGTTAGCATCAAACCAAAGAATTTGATTGGATTCTTTTTGGTGGTCTTTAAAGACATTTATTGCTTGCATAATTACTTTCAAAATGAAAAAAAATGTCTTCAGCTGATGGCTATTGAACAAAAACATGAGGCTACTGAAATGTTTTCAAGTAAAAGTATAGAAAATTCGAACCAAAGTGAGTAAATTGTACACTGATTTAGCTACACGTAGTGAATTTTGACGACTGGCCACCAATTCTTCGGCTCGGTTCAATACAACGTCTTTTGTCGCTAGAACCTAAAATAAAGCAAAATTTCCAAGCAATAACGCTGCACTTCTATTTATGTGTTTTCCAACAAATCACAATTTGAAATAATTGTTCATTACCTCACTGATTAATAAGAGCAGTAAAATCTCTTCAATTCTCGAAGCGGGTGAAAAATAATTCCTATGTGATCCAGTATAAAATCTGCAAAAAACACTGAACTACAACTATTTCAAACTAAAACTAGAAAAATTTCTATAAACAATTCAGCATGGCTAATTGAAACAAGTTAATATGAACGGAATTGTAAACTATTCTATTAAGCATGATAATGCTGTAATTGAAGGGGAGAAAAATTTTTTTTTTTCATTGTCCCGAAACACAAATGTAATACGCTGAATTCTAGGAAAATGTTTACCTTCAAGTTATAACATTTTTTGCCAACAAGTAATCAAGTGTTAATGATGCCTTCAAATTCTGCTCAATTAAATAGTCGAGTAAATCAATTTGTTAAAAACCTTAAATTTTGTGATTTTGTGCTAACAGATTGCGACTCCATATAGCCAGAATCCGGCATACCTCGGATTAATACTTCTGCTAACTGTCGACTTAATCTGAAAGTTCGTTCAAACAGTAAAAATACATAAAAATAACTTTCGTGTCCAGCTTTTCTATGAATTTACCAGTTTCTGAAACTGAAAAATAAATTAAAAGTTCCACGTACCTTTGTTGTAATTTTTCGCCTACCATTTTATCACCTAATGATGTCATAATCCGGCGATACCATTCAACTCCTTCATCATCCCACGGCCTATCAATTAAATTATGTCTTAAACGCAACAACGGCACTCTTTCCAGTGTTGTTTCCAATAGTTCGCCTAAAATTTTTGAATGCAATATATATTTCTAAGCATTATGGTTTTACTAGGGTCATAGAGCAAAATGAATAACCTTATACTTCTTATAGCTCATTTATTGCAATGAATCAAAAAATAAAAAGGAGATAAAACAATTATAAAGTAATAGGGTGTACAATATGTCACAATTACCCATTCTCTCAACATGTTGCTTTCCACTTGTTCCATTAGCACTTGACGAAAGCATTCCGCTTCCTAAAGTAGTAAACAAATTAATAATAAAATCGATTTTAAATTCACCAACTTGTAAGAGTAAGGAAAGCACTAACTGCTTTGTAAATTTATTGACTTTTCGAGTTCCTGGATATATGATATGGCAAGTTCTGCTGACTTTTCAAAACAAAAAAGTGCTCTCATTCGAGATTTTTCCAAATCCGGTTTCTTCAAATGCTTCATCGTTGCTTCTATGGAAAATCCTTAAAAATCATAGCTGAATGAACCTTTTTTTACAACGGAAAAGTAACACATGCTTTTTAAATGTGGTATTTAAAATGTTTCAAAATGTTGTTAACAGTAATTTGTCTTTGTTATAAAATCTCGTATGAATTTCTGTTTTCCTTATTATCTCTTCAGTAAAAGTATAAATTTTCACAGATTCTCAAGAAATTTCATGGTTTAAAAAAATCAAAACCTTTTATAGCATAAGCTTCAGCAACTAAACGCAGATCACGCAATGATTCAAATGGTGTATCGCCAAATTCCAATCGAGAATTGTCAATGTCTTGCATTGCTCGTTCATACTCCGCGCTGCAAAAAGTACTCATGATGAATATAAGCCTGATTCAAAAAAGTCTAGAAATACTTCTTCTTGACAATGATATTGTAAAAATATTGTTCACGAAAATGAACTTGGAAATTAATCTTATATAATATTTTCCCTATGCATTAATTATTATGTCGTCGAAAATCAAAAAAGTAATTCTCTTTATCTAATTTTAACAAAAATAATAGAAGATACCAATAATAATGCAATTTTGCAAGCAGCAAATTCGCCTCTAAATAAATTGTCGACTTTTCGGCCATTGAAGACTGCAGTGTATTGTAGAGAAGATTTGCTGCTTTTTCCAAATACTTTTTATTTTCCGCTTTCGATTCCAGAAATTCTAGAAGAAGATGCTTTTTAGTTTTAAATTGAAGTAGGAAAACTAAAAAAGGCCATCCAATCAACTAACACTTCTGACAAAAAAGCAGTATCGGGATAAGAATCAGTTGTTGATAGTGTGATAGTTCATGGTGCTGATAATCAGCCCATTCAATTTTTAAATTTTTAAAAAAAAAATTACCTGAGCTTTGGTCGATAAACGATTCGATGATGTATTCCGCTTGCAACAAATCTTCATAATGTTGCATGCCACTATTTTTGGAGCGCACAGAAAGTAACAAATCGCCCAATCTTCTCCAATTACACTCCGAACGGCATTTATCCACTTCTGCTTCTAATCTGCTTCCCTTCAGTTTCGAGCCCATCAATTCTGCAACGATCTTCAATCAGAGAGATACCGCCAACTCCCATCATCATACCTCATAAACACATAAAGTTCGAAAATCAAAGAAACAATGAGATATGTATATTTTATTCTACCGGTTGACTTAAAAAATACCCATCGCGCAAGGATGGATGATAATCAGTGTAAGACTCTCGAGAAATATCTCTCCCCAGAAATAATACCCCGAAGGAAGAATTCTTCTAACTCTTGACACATTGCATGTTTTCGTTTCAGGAGCACTTACTTCAAGTAAGGTGCCATCATGCGGTGGTTTTCGTATTCAAATTAATTTCACTTAAGCGGAAATAGAGGGATCGAAGGATAAACATTTCGCGGTTTATAAGAATAACGGCTTAGTTCATTAACGAGAACTTAAAAGGTAATATACTGAATCATATTCATATAACATGAATGATGATTCTAACAGCAATATTAACAATTAATAAATGGATAATAATAAAATAATTTTTTCAACTAGCTGTAAACAAAAATTACATGTCGGAAAACTGATAATGATAGGAAAAAGCAATTGAATTCCTAAAGAAAAGAGCTTAAATATAAAGCATTCATTCACAATTTAATTTTCATCCCTATCAAAAACGAGGAACTATGGAATATGAAATAAACTTTTGAAAAGAATAAATTGAAGATTTCCATCAATAATAATTCTATGATCTTTTCAGGCATAAATTTCTTTTAACATAAGCGTTAAGTGAATATAATGAACTCAATCAAGCAAATAAGAAAAAGAAATTACAATAAGCATAAAAATAAAAATGCGTATGGCTTATCTGAACTGCATTGTAAGCAATAAGCGAACTCTCTTCTTATGTTTGAAAAGATTTCACTGAACAAACAAAAAAAAAAAATTTCGCAATAATTGGAATTAAGCAGAACATCTTCTATTTTTTAAAGCTAAATTGATATGATTTCATAAAATTTTAAGTTTGAATTTACTTACATTATTTGTGGAAATATTTTACCAGTCAGAGATAATTAGGTATATTTAAGTATTCTCGAAAAACTACCAATGAAATATTCAATGGGTAATGGATGAAAAAGTGCTTGTTCCTCAACTGTTTATCTTGAAGGGGATAGAAAATGCAGAATTATTCTTGAGTAAATTGCCAGGACTAAATTATTCGTGACAAATAAAATTTAATTAAACTTTTAAAATTTTATAAAATTAAAAGTTTGAGTCATTTCAATCTTGAAATTCAAAAAATATCAGTTCTTTTGTTTTTGAAACTATTGACCATTTAACAGAGAGTTGTAAATAGTAAATAAAAGCATTCTGAAAAAAGATTCTCACAGTTCGCATTGACTACCGGTGAGATTTCAGATCCCATAATTCCGCTTTGTTCAATGCATTTCGAGGGGCGGTAAAGTTTTTCTCAAAGTGGTTGGATGAAGCGCTCATTTGGAAGAATGTTGAAACAGTTGAAATTCACGTAACTCAAATTGTTTTTCTTTTACAAATTTAAAAATGCCAAATTTAACTTAAATCATTCTTTTTTACTTTTTTTCGTTTTTCAATAACGAAATACCACGATTGCTAATAAACTATTTTAAACCGATAAATTTGCATGCATATTGTCGGGTTATGGAAAATGAACCCAAAAATCTACTACAATGTATTTTTCATTTTACTGATCATCAAAAGTTTTAACTCTCCTTCAGAACAATTCCTAGAAATTGTAACAAATATGCTAGCACCAAATTATCAAATGATTTTTAAATGAAATATCATGTCTGGTTCAATTGCTTCAACCAGTGCACTCAAGTAAACTAATTTTCCAGTGATTATTAACTGCCAAGTTTCAAAATATATAGAGTAATCACCGTAAAATAAAAAGTTCAGTTTTTGTATCAAAAATAGCTGTAATCATTATTTTCATTTCCAATAATTTCCCCGAAACATCTATGAACAAGTGGGATTTTTTTATAATCACTTTATTTCATTCTGGAAATCAGAATACGAAAGTTTTGTAAAATTTACTTTTCTTTGCATACTGGGCAAGAAACACAAACGGTGTATGTAAAATATTGTCAACAGATAGAATGCTCTCTTCCGGATTTTTTTCTCTTATTTATACAATTACATTTACGTTTACATACAGATACTTTTATTTTTTTTTCATAAAATGAATGAGGAAAATTAGTAAAATTACAATTATATGGATTCATTATGGAATAATTCATCAACTTCCTCAAATTTGCAAATTAAAGTTCGTTGTAATTTACAGTTTAAGTATAAAATGTTGAAGTAAAATAACGTAACTTCACATATTTTGTTATTCCGTTACCTTACAGTTATTGCTAACGTCAAAAAGCTGAATATTCAAAATAGCTGGCCAAAATTAGTGCTCACTTCGTATAGTACTGATATCAAAATCGGGAGAATAGCTGTTCAGAAAGTTGATAAGTAAGAGTCCTTATCATATTCTAGATTTATTTTTGAAGATTTTTGAAAATTGGAAAAATCCCACTTGAACTAGGTTTTTCCTATCGAGAATTGATTGAATTGGTATCCGAAAGAATGAACCATGTAAAGCAGACCACTGATTTACATAGCGCAGTTAATTGAACAATATCATCAAGAGAACTTGCAGCACTGGACGTCAACGAAGGAAATAACACAGTAAATGCGCCCACAAATATTTTTAATACAGTTTTGATATACATTACGTACTCTGTAATTTTTGTGCATGCCGTCTTTTATACTGCATGTTGCAGTTTTGCTACTTCAAACTTAAATGAAATTCCGCCTTCTTCTTATTTTGCTCATATTCAGAAAACGTGCAGATCCATTAGATTACATTATGCACGAACCTATAATCTCATATAAGCATATTTCAGGTCAAAATTAAAGCGTCTTTTGACAGTCTTTTGACTAGTAGGTAAGATATCAAAGAATGGTACTTTTTATGATGATATGCTCTGAGGTGATGAAACCAACTTAATCATCATAATATCTAAAATTCTAATAGAATCATTACTATCTCGAATAAATTTTCACTGAAAATTCCACATCAACCTTTGAATTTACAAAATATTCTAATCTTCCAACAAAAAATTGAAATTACTACAACATGGTAAAAAAGACCACGAAAATACACAAGGAACACAGAATTAGAAAGATGACGAGAAAAAAAACATGAAATACAATTAAGTAGATTTTAGAAAAATAAAAAATATAATACAGACATAAACTAGCGAATCTGTCAATAGCTACATTGAGCCCTAAACGCTTTAAAAGTATGTGTTGGATGATTACCTTGCTATTCCGAGGTATTGGTAAGGGTGATTTTAGGAAGTTTTAATCCCTTAAGCCATATATTCATATAATCAATTACTTGATTCACTCCCATTTTGCTCTCTTTTCCGAATCATTTAATTACAGAGACTTTTTGCTGTGTTAGGAAATACCTCGATAGCAACTTTCAATAGCGTAACAGCTTGGGCAAAATATATTCAACAGCAACGCATGCTTACTAATCACGGAATGTTGATAAAAATTCTATAAAATATAAAAGTTTTAATCATGTATGTATGTATGAGACCGATTTAGAGGTAGCAAATTACATCCAGCACTAAAACGCCTCGAGATAAAAAAATAAGATGTTGTAAATGTATATTTTTAAAAGTTTCTGATATAACACTAAATATTCAAATACTTTTTTTGTATATCTTTAACGACTCAGGAGGTAAGTCTCTATAGATACTTTATAGTTATAGTCATATTTCAATCTCTTACAATGTCTTAAAACACATCGATTTTATAAGTATGTCTCAGAAGCACTTAAAAATCATAAATCCAGAATCAAAGCATATCCTGTCTATATTCTTTTTTCTTACTGCAACAAAAATTCACAAGCAGTGCAACCTGAGGCGCTTTTCCGGTATGTGGCAGCAAAGATAATGATCATCACGTGATAATTACTAATTCAAAGATCCACGACATCCCGGTGCTCCGCACAAGCAATCAATTTTGTCCTCTTCAATCGGGAACTTATAATCGTACGTTATTTCATCGCCTTTATTGATTGCCAACTTGCTATAAATGACGATGCGTTTTTCGCCATCTACTACAACAATTTTAGCATAACAGTTTGGTTGGCATGAATGATTTATGAATCGTGCCAAATTTCCCATTTGTGTCGCATCGATAACCTGCAAAACAGTAAAAAATAAATCAAGCTTGAACTTATATATCGAAAACAATACTAGCAGCAAAATGATGTGAAGAATGCACACAGCGATTGATAAGTTTTCACTAATACGCTTAAAAACAGCTAAATTTTCTAGAAAAAAAAAACAAATTTTAAGACGAATTAGCTTACATTATCAGAATCGATACGGAACAAATAGCTTGAACCCATGCCACGTCTCTCATAACGTTTTTCGCGTTCATCTGCCACTGTTGGACGTATTTTCTGTCCGATATACTCAACAATCATTTCATCCGGAGCGATTGCTTCCAATGCATACAAACCCCAACCATGGATACGCGATCGAGCAAATTTGATTAGTTTCTTGCGAAACTGAAACAAATTTTTAAATCCAAAAATGAAAAAAATTGAGGTTTAAAAATTAAAATTAATTTCGTTTGTTTACCAAACATGAACATATTATCTATATAACCTGACAAATGTTTGAGTTGGGATTTTTAAGCTACAGTGTTCAGTTTCTAATTCAAACTCTATAGCCGTTATCATTATTATAACCTTTGATGTACGACTTCTTTACAACCGATCAGATGTTTCGAGTAGAGTCCTTGAAAAGAATACCTTGGAGATAATATAATTTATTTTACAACTAGAAAAAAATAATAATAGAGAAAACAAGAAAACTTAATCATATCATTTTTGTATTGAAAATATTTCGATTCAAAATTTTCTCATTGTTCAATTTAAGCAATAACACTACAGAATATTATTCATTCCACTTCTAATCCATATCGAAGAATTAAAGAGATGCTTCCCCTCAATTATCCTCTCCTTTTTATCATCTGTATAATGTACATTAGATTGGCCTATGCAATGCTAACTCTTCCTTGCAATGACTACATGCCATTGCGATTGTAAATAACATTACAATACCTGTAGAAAAAACAGTATTCTCAAAACCTACAACAACAGATTTCGTTAATGTTATACAAATTATTTCTAAGTTATCTGGAAATATTTCACGTATTAAGAGAATAAAATTCAAAACTACGACATCTCCAAACAACAAAGAAGTTCGTTTTTTCTGAAATGGCGACGATTTCATTAATAAATGCTTCAGAAAACTTTCGCTTGAAATAGAATCCAAATAATTTACTTTCAACTGATTAACTTTGAATATATCCGAAGAGGTATCGCCCATTGACGTCAACAAACGACGATTCATGCTTCGTGCTTCTCGTGTAGACTGCACCAAATACCGCGCTTTTTCATCATCCTATAAATGGAAATATAAACAGTCTTACTTCCACTAGAGTGTTAAACCAGCAACATTATAAAATAAGCAAATTCACATCGTTTTTTTTTATCAAATAGCACCCTTCACTTTTTAATGATTTTTGATGACAGCATTTTAATAATTTTTCATTAAAACACTTATGAAATATGAGAAAGTAATATAAAGAAGATATATCAGTTCTGAATCTATTCAATCACCAGCAAGTCACGGTAGATCTCATGTTATTTATTTAATTAAATCATAATTCTTGTAAAATTACAGCAGCATAAAATTAAATTATTTATTAAATTGATATTTGAATCACAGACCTTTTCATTTATTTCCGTTAAGAAAACATCCGGTCGTCGTAGAACACCTCTCTTTTCCTTATGGGATAATTTATAGTAGCCTTCTGTACGAGCACATCCGGACGAATGAGGTACTACACCTTCCAGCTTCAGTAGAAATAGAATTAATATATATACATATATATATATATCACTTGTAATCTTCAAAAATTTTACTAGTTTAATAAAATTCTGTGGCCTTTTAACCATTCCTTATATATTTAGTAAAAAATGAGAGAACTTACCTCAGGATCATCATAATAGTAAATATTTTTTCCAATTTTCTTCGGTTTATCCTATAAAAACAATATTCAGTAATAGAAAGATTATGAATATATTATGTCAAATCAAAATTTTTGACAGTTGCATGATAAAGTAAAAAATATGACATAAATCCATTCTAATATATTTATAATTTCAACCAATAGATGGACTTCTGGCACTTTTCTCGGCGGTACCCAGTATAATTTCCTATTCCATGTCGCTGTTCTATCGTTTTGCATTTCATGAAACGCTTTTTCCAAAAATATCAAATCTTCTGCATCCATGCCTTCCTTGAAAGTGGGAAGTCTTGAATCCATGTTAGGAAACAGAAATAAAATATATATTCAAATCTTACTTTTCTCTAATTATAGTGCTATCTCTTCCTTTCAAATTTTATTTATTAATAGCAAAAAATCAAGCATTAATATTCGAATGAGACTAACTTTTTCAAACTTCCAGAAGACCTTTTTTTCATCTTCAAGAGTTCGTTTCTCCCACTGTTTTGCGGGTTTCCAACTTGTTTCCCATGCCAGCTGTTCCACGTCAACGGGTGGTGGAAGTAGCGAAGCAAGTTCATTTCGATAGTATCGTTTCTTTACTTTTGCTGCAATTTTGAAAATAAATATCTTTAAAATGATTCTTGAAGTTTAGCTTATCCATAATGCAGTTCCAAAATATTTATGAATAAAATGCAGTTTGAAACTATGCGCCGAAAAGATCTCAGATGTCAAGTTCTTTTGCCTGATCTATTATTACGGACTGCTTGAGGATGAATGATCACTTATCATCAGTTGCATTTCCATACCGGCTTTATCTTGTACGTGTTGCAACAGTGTTTCATCTGGTTTTCTTAATTTTCTAGTTTCACAATACTCCGAGGATATCGTTTCGCTATCACTGCATACTGAAAAGCTTTCCTCAAGTTCTTTTTTCAATTGTTCCGATAATTCCACCGGAAGATAGCAGTGATCATTGAAATATCCTTCTATATTTGCAGCACCGAGCACCTCAATAAGTATTCAATTAATCAAATCCAGTGATTTTTAGTTGAAAAATTAAAATGACAGTGCTTAATTATGTTCAAAGCAAATGTACAACTGATTAATTATATATATATGAAATCATATGAAATTGTTTTTAAATGACTAATACTAGGCATGTCTCCCTCAAACAAAAAATGGGTAGAAAAAAGAGATGAGACACTGAGGTGTTTATCTTATATCCGTTCACTTCGCATGCAAAATAAAGGGGATAAATTTTTCGAAAAGATCCTTTGTACCAATTTAATCCAATTAAAATTTAATTTCTTTCAGATTTTTAAAGAAATTTGAATCAGTGAAATTAATTCGCTAAAAAAGCTATGATACCTTTTCATTTCTTGTTTGCAATTCTTCGGAAATTTTATCCTGTTCTATCAATTGAGATGTTGCTGTGCAACTGCTAAATAAAATACTTTGTTTAATGAACAATTAATGAATGAAATATTACTTTGTTCAAGGAATGAATTTCGCAATTTAATCGCTTTGATATATGACACATTTACACATGGCTATATAAAAAATTATAATGCAAATTTCTAAAAAAAAATGAGTAAAACAATGCAAACCTTAAAGAATCAGTCCTGTCGCATCCATTATTTTCTTCAATTTCAGTCTTAACCATTAACACTGCCTTTTTCTCAATTCCTTAAAGATTAAAACTTTTTTAGGAAGAAAATTTGAACTAATGCAAGAATTTTTGTGTACTAACTTTATCTTCTAAGATATCAAAACAATATCAGAAGTATAAAGTGTTGGTAGATGCTAGGGTTATACTGTTCAATTTTTAGAAACCATTACTTTTGGTGAAAAGAAAAGCATTCACAACAGAAATCATCAATAAGCAGAATTTACACACGGTGTAAGAGTTTTAATAAAGCGGAAATTTTTTAGAATCAAACACCGCAAAAAGTTTAGTTTGCAATCTATTTCACTTATTTTATGATATAAATTAAAATTAATAAGAAACATCCTACTAACCGGAACGTGCAGATAAATTGCCAATTGTTCGAATTTTGCCGAAATCCTTTTCGATATGCTTACATTCTTCCAGCTGTTCTTCCTCCTCTTCCTCCTCCTCATCCTCTTCTTCCTCGTCCATTTCCTCTTCTTCATCTTCTTCACTTGTTGATCCATCAATTGACATCAAACTTCTAGAGCCAAAGTGTTTTCCTCCCGAAAATATCCGATTAGAACGTTCTGTTGAACATATAGATTCGCTTTCACTCATACTTCTAAAAACAGTTCAACAATTATTTATTCAAAGAGGAATTAAGAAAATAAATCCAACTGGAAAAACATGCCTTTTTATCATGTAACTCGCAAAAATTTTATTAAATGAACATTAATAGCAATCTTCGAAAAATGCGTGCATTTTAATTCAAGGAATCTTCACTCCAATTAATTTTCAGCAAACATGATTTGCAAATTTAACTTTTATTTATGTCACTTCAAGTACTGAAACAGACTTCAAACTAATTTCTTAGGCATAAATCTGAATTTCCAAAAAACGTAGATAAACTACTCTTTCTCAGTTAATAGTCAAATAATACCGTTCACTTCCACTTTTGTCATCTTCGTCATCTGAACTTCTTTCCCCTCTCCTGAGATTTTGACTTTCACTCCTTTCACAGCTTCGACTCGAGTCTGAAGTCCTATCGCTTCTTGTAAATGAATAGGCAGAACAAGATGATGTGCAACTACTACTTCTGGATCGTTGTCTTCGTTTTGGTGATAAGTGTAGTTGCTTCTGTAAGTAGTTGCTTTCAGGATAAGAATAATATGCGAATATGAAATGGGAAAAATGGGTTAGTTGAAAAGATATTAAAAAATAAAAATAAAAATAGAACAAAAACAAATACTTCATTTAGTAAGAGTAACACACTACATTCGATGTCTGGACAGGCAGAAATTTAGTTATGAATTAACAAAACAAATAGAACGATTGTTATAAAATGCAAAAGAAAAAAACTTCATTCGCATAAGTCTATGATCATGAAGTTGGTAATTTATTAATGCCTCTCAAAAAATAAAAATAACCAGCCTTTTTGAAGCTAGGCATATTCCGCGCAATGCCCAGACCTTTGAAAAATAATCCAGTGCCCAACAACGCCGCTGTGTCGGGGCCAAATGTTGCCGATATTTCAGCTCTTGTTTGTTCAGTCACTTGTCGGACCACTTCGTTCAGAGAATCTTTTGAACTGGAAAACAAAGTTAAATTTCAATAAAACAGGCATTACTTCCAAAGTCTGAAAATATAAATGCCATAATTCAATAGTTCGGTAAAGAGCATTTCTAATTTATTACTCAGTAAAGAGTTCAGATTTCTGTATAATATTAAACCACCTTTCCGCAACTCAGTTTCCAATAAAGCATTTTTTTAAATCATCTAAACAAATCGGAACTAATCGATTTCAAATCTATCAGCCATTTTAAATAGTCTGTTCGATGATTTGGAAATTATTTAACTCAAATAAATAGTCGTATCATAACTCCACCTCACTGTTTGTTTATCAGGAAGAACGTTAGTTTTATCAGTAGATATTATTGGAGTGTCGATAGAACTATTCTTTGTCTCATTTTGCCAAGAATCATCATCCCGTTCCTGAAAGAAGGTAAAGAAAATCTATATTAAATAAGTGAGTATTTCAAATCACAAATTTAAAAATGTTTATTGATAAGTATCAAAAATGGCCTGCCTCAATGATAACTTTTCTATACTACTCTGGATATTATCACAGGTTACAAAATACAGTTTCAGAATTGGAAAATATATATTGAATTTCTACGTTTTGAAACATAATATTCTTCATCAAATGAAAAAGACACTATACATTTCTTCAAATCCATACATTAAAAAATGTCAGTAATGATCAACAAACCGTTTCCTGTGTATTACAAAAAATGCGGCAATTTATTTCTTAAATCCTTACTATAATCTTGTTTTGGAAATATTAACTTATCAGGAAAAAAGCACTTGAACAAGTACCACAACTTTGACTTTTTCTCTTTCCCTCCATCCTTGTTCCAATTTTTCAAATGCAATACTTTCAATTTTGCGCATTAAATCCTTTAGCAAGACATTTTTCAGGTCTTCACGAATTGCCACATATACTGCATGCACATAATTTTCACGAGCTGCTCTCTGAAAAAAGATGAATTTTTATTTAGACTGAATAATAGATGAGATATAAATGAACAAAAGAAAGTCAGAGTGAATAGTACTACAATCTTCACTTTTTTCTCCAAAACTCGCTCTTCCAATTCCCTTTGTTCCCCAATTTCTTCCGATCCATCTCCGACTTCTAGTTCTTGATCCTCAATCAGTTCACTCCGTTCTCCTATTATTTTATCCAAATGTTTAGTCTCTCCTCTAATCTTATTATGAATAGCATCCATAGGGGAAAATGTACCAATCTGTAAAACACGAAGTCAGGATGTAGATCATAAAATTTTACTTAATTTCAGTATTAGATTTATGTTTGCGTTCGCTTTGGGGATTGAACAATAAAACATAAAGAATTTTCAACTGCTATAAAAAAGAATCACTTACCTCAAAAGAAACTGAATCTGAAGCAGCATCACGATACATTGAATTTTCTGATGTTTGTGGTTGTGACTTTCTCCCAGATTCGCTGAAAGGTTAAACACGAATGATTTAAAGAAAATAAATATAAAAAAAGATTGAAAATTAACACCCAGTTTAGGAAACAATTGTTTCAGAAAAAGAAATAAAAAAGAAAACTGAATGAAAAGATACTAAGAGCAGTAGTTATTTAATAACAGTAGTACTCAAGTTCAACGAAATACAAATTCAAAATATAGAAAAGTGCCGAAATAATTTTTATTACATCTACAATTTTTTTGAAACTTCAAACTTACGTGGCATTAATATCAGATGGATATTTGGCAAAATTAACATTTTTACTGCTATGCTCGGTAAGAACAATTTCAGATGGAGGCATTCCCTTCGGTTCCGAAGGCACATCAAATCCTGAAAAAAGGCAATACATTCACAAGTCAAGTGCAAAAAAAAGGATATGACTTGGCAAATTTTTGTTGTTATACATATATGTAATTTCAGAATTTGCCAAAAACTCATATAATGCCAACCAGAAAAATATGAAATGATGTAATACTTATCAGACGGCTTAATTGAAGGGGGCCGATGTATCTAATTGCATCGCAAGCCTATTTCGAACATCGATGCATTTCGTATCTTTATTATATATATATATATATATATAATGCACGTACTTCGTAAAGATCAAATACTTCAGGATGTTCTTCGGTCACTCAGAAATCATCATCGGCATCTTTTTCAGATTTTATTCATCTCTTATTTTTAATTTTCATGCATTTTTCTTTGGAAATTAAAGAGCTTCATCCAGTTTTGGAGTAAATTAATTTCATTTTGCAAAGCATTAATAAGAATGATAAACTTCAAAGGACAAAATGATACATTTTACAGATGTTCGTGATGTGTTAATAAAACAAAATTCAACAGTTTAGGATTACATTCTTCATCAAGAAATCAATGAAAAGGCAAACAAACCTGAAATAGATGGAACTGAAGTACCACATACATCATTTGAACGCTCTTCTTCATGTATCTCTATAATCTGGAAATCCAAAAATGATGATACCATACACAAGCATTGTATAAAAAAGATATGGCGATCCTGGATAACATCCCTTTTTTTGTACAAAGTAGAAAAGGAATCACTTTCCTTCTTCCGTTTGCTATTGCCCATCACTAATATGATTGCATTCTAAGGATTGTACTGTATTTTTGCAGACAAGTTAGTAAGTAGTAAAAAAAACTTTTGTTACCATCACGCTCACTTTTGATGTTACCATCTTTCACAAATTTCCCACAACAATACTACTTTTTATTTTTAATTTTCCTCCCATTCTATTTTAATTTGAAACCATCTTCCAAGTTAACCGAATTTAAAGCAAATTATAGTTCACTGAAACTTCTTTAATTTTACTTTTGTGCTAAGTAAAAACAATTCAAAAACTTTGACCAAGCCTACCGGAGGTTGCATTGAAGTGGATCGAAATAGATTTTCGAGTCGCCGTTCAAACGAGGGTCGCGAGCTTTCTGCTGGAGGAGTAGACTGCATAACGCATGGAAGTGGAGAATCACCCGAAAGCTTCTCGGGTGAAGTTAAATTGGGAGTTGGCAGTGACTGAGTTGATTCATTTTCTGAAAAACTTTTATATGTTGCACATATTTGTTCCACATAGTACTAAAACTTAGTTTTGATAAGATTCTAATAACAGTTATGTCGTCCTTTGAAAATCATCCAATTATAAGAATTTACATTGGACTAACTTATTAAGGTATGTGGTGCTGTTGGCTGATGTACTATATCATTTGCTTCTTCACCGTGCGATTCTTCACTGCTTGCAGTCACCGCTTCAACCATATCCTAAATAATTTCGCAGTTTGACAAAAAAGCTATTGAGGTTAGTGCTTATAATTTGAAAGTATCTTGTAGTATTCCATTGTCTGTTTATATCGTCGCTTAAAAAAAGTTAAGTTTTAGTTTTAAATACTCATTTTCTAAATCACAGCTGATTACGTTTCCAATTTATATAGAAACTAAACTTTTTTTGCAAATAGTGAGATCATGATTATGCGATACCCTAGTACACAAAAAACAAACCGACAGGTTTACCATTTGTGAACTTTTTGGTGAATGAAGGTTTGAAGGACGTTTTCGTATCCTAAAAAGCAGTTATGCGAATTTCAAACTTTTCTGAATTAATTACCGATCTAATAAACAAATCTTAGTAAATCACGCTTATCACAGAACGAAAAAATCATAAAAAGAATATTCCTTTGCTTGCCAGATTAAATAAATCTCGGATTTATATTAAAGGTTATGAATTCTTATAAGAATTTTATTTCAAAAATATACCTTTTCCAATTTCTGAAAGAGGTCGGTTCATCACATTCTGTTTCTGACTCAGTAGTTGAGGAAGATGAAGACCATCTGTGGCCCTTTTCATTTCCACTTAAGCTAGAACTTCCTCGTTCTCTATAACTTCTGTGATCACTGCAATAAAAAATTCTTAATTTTGTAATAATGAATAATTTTGACAAAATATACCATTATCATTTCAATTTTTATATTTCATTTTTTACCACAGTATAGTCGAAGAAAAGTTGGTACCACATCAACGAAATATTCTTATTCTAGCCTCAAACAGTAAATAAATTTTTTTGGAAAAAAAACTTCCGAAAAAATTTTTTGATTTCAGTACTGGAACATACCGCTGCCTACGTCTTTTTTCCATAATTCGCTTCTTTCGCCAATCCACATGTTTGGATTGTTGATGAGTTTGCTTCGTTAATAAGATCTCCCGATGACTTTTTTTTATCTGAAACTGCTAGATGCACTGAAGTTCAAGAAATCAAAAAAAATTTTGCAACACATCACTTTAAGCTATTTTTTAATTTCTTAAGTATTCACTGAACTAATCTCTTACAACTTGGCAATAATGAGACAATAATTTCAAGCATTAAACTGAACCGAAACCCACCGGTGACTGCACTTTTAGTTCTTGCTGCTCCTTACTAAGTTGATCATCACTACTTACGCTTTCCAGATCTGGTAAATCAACATCCGGTTCCACGAAATGCTCAATAGTTTCTTGCTGCCATTTTTTATATTTTCGTATGCGTTGATAACTTTCCACCTCTTCCACAAGTTCTGGTGATTGAAGTAAATTTGATTTAGTTTCCTGTGAACATTTTCTTGTATTATCATTCTTCCGAATTACAATTTTCTAAAAAGAAAAATTCGAAATGTGAAATATCTGCTTGGAAATTAAAGTACTTCCAGTTTGCCCCGTAACGTATGAAAACTATAAGAGTTGCATAAATACGAAAAAATATCAAGGTTTCAGAATCTCATTTCTTCTCTTAAAATGACACCAAAATGAATTATAATAACAAAAAAACTTTTTTATGAATAAGGAGATGTGAAGCAGATGTTTAGTATTTGTATATTTAATGAGAAATCGCGAAGACGATGACTATACATATGAACCAAAGTAAAAGGAAAAAGAACAAATTCTGGAGTTTTCGAAACACCAGAAAGAAAATCCATCAAAACTGACCTATACATCCTTACATATTAGAATACAATATAAAACTGTATTTCATCAAATATTAATCGAGGAAAAGCCTTTAAGTTATAATGCAGGATTAGATTAACAGACAAATCTCAATATTTTAAATAAATTCAGCAGTCGACATGAATAAAATAAATCCCATTACCTTGTAGTAGTCATTAGTTCCGCCTGCTCCTTTCCTCTTGTAATATTTATGTTCCTGAAAAAGCTTTCAATTTCGTTTCGAATTTTAATCATTAAAAAACACCATATCAAAAAATCATGAGTTACCTCTGTACATAATCAGAAATCATAAAAATCAGATGATTCGAAAAATTACCTCCATATCTTTTTCTCTCCTATGTTTTAGAGAACAGACATGAGATGGTTTATAAAAATGTTATCCCAATTTCTTATAATTGTGTGTAAGAGTAATCTTGATTTCTATGAAAAAATTCAAATTTTTTACTATTTAATAAGGAATAATGATTTCATTTACTCCATTTATTTACTCGATTACATAAAACATTATGTAGATGCCAATACTTAGTTTAACATCACAGTAAAATTAAAGAGATAACAGATTTTGATGCGACACCATATATCGAATGTGTCACTTACTTCTATAATTTCTTTTTTTCGATGTCGATGTTTTCTCTTAATAGTACTGCCGCTGTCAACAGAACTTTCTTCGCTTACTTCACTTCCTTCGTCGCTCCCGGAACTGCTACTTTCAGATGCAGAGGAAATCGAAATAGACTCACGAAGTCGTCTTCTTTTTCTTACTTTTTTTTTTCCATTTGCTAAATGAAAAGAAACCAGTTGAAAATTTTTTCAGATAAAAAATTAAACTTTATTTCTCAAATAATATCCATTTTTCTTTTTTCCTCAAAAAATGCAAAAAATCTATTCTTACACCAAATACCTTCTTGAATTTCTTAGAAGTTATTTTTTATAGAACTTTATTTAAAACACTCAGAAAGATTAAGGAAATTTATTTGAAAAAAAACTTCCACCACAATAAACTCCACCTGTCACATTTATTGAAAAAGCAACAATGAAAATGTGTTTCAATTAACCTGGAACACTTCGCTTTTTCCTCTTGGCATTGGGAGTAGTTGCTTCCGGTTTTATCCTTTCTTCTCTTTCCTGACATTAAACATGTAAAAATACTTTAAGCTATTTAAAGGTTCCCACGAATAATCCGCAATTCCACAGTTTGGATTTACCCATTTTTAAGCTAACCTTTACACGCTATTAGAATTCAGATAATCTTTTCAATATTCTGAAATGATTGATTACACAGTGTATTGATGACAAATCATGTGTCTTGGCTTATTTATTTGAATAATGTTGGTGGAAGCCAATATACACCTTAGTATATACCCTCCTTTACAACATTTTCCTCTTTCTTTCGCTCTCCCGAAAAGACAATACTTCCATGAATAGCAGATGTATTAAAACCACAATGAAGGCACCAAGTACCAAAGGACAACGAAATACAGGATTTGAAAAAAGAAACTTTCGAGGGTGCTGGATCCATTGGTGCAACTTCTTCGCAAGATGAAGTACTTGGTAAAGCCTGATATGCAGTTGATGCAAAATTCGGTATTGTTGGTGCCGAATTTTCCATGGAAAGAACTTGAGGTTGCACTAGAGTGGACACAATTGTTTTTGCCCTTGGCCAAATATTAGTTGCTGAAAACATTAATCAAACAAATAAATAAAAGAATGAGATGAACCGCTCGAAGCTCTAAACTTTTAGTGTTTCTGGTAAAATACTGGAAAAATATTGAAATGTTTACAAACTGCTCATTCAAATACTCCACGGCTATAAAACTATAAAACGCGCAAGGAAATGAAGGACGATGTACATAGAGAATCTATAAGCCCTCAAATATTCCAGATTACCAAAACTTCAAAGTAACCTGGGGGTCGCAGCGGTGGCGGTGGTATATTAGGCCATGCAGGGAATGGCATTCGCGCGGCTATTGGCGGAAGAGGCGGCAGTGGCGAAAAAACGCTGGCAGAAGGTGAAGCTGATGGAAAATTCGAAAGAGCATGTACGGGATTAGGCGGTAGCGAATGGTAGTATGTAAATGGTGTCTGAGGATGCTGATGAGACAAGAAATGATGGGAACAGAATGTTTGATGCGCTGCTTGTACTGTTGTTAATGGTGGACACGAAGAACTTGTAATGGAAGGAGATGTTGTCGATGGAGCAAAATGTCCGACTACTGTAGGGACTGTCGAACGTTCATTAGGCGGTACTACATTTTCGATGTGTGTTGCTGTAATACAGATTTAGTTTGCAAACCTAATCTTCTTTTTCAAAAAATCCAAGCAAATTTAAAATAGTTTTTATCATATAATAATGAGGCACTTTCAATCAAACAATATGCAATTGACTGAGTTGACAAAAAGCTTCGGGAAAAGTATCCACTAATCGCGCCTTTCTTCATAATTCTTCGTTCCCCCGTTAATTCCTTGTTTGTTTTGCTATTTGAAAGGAAGCAACACAAAGTAAATATAAAGCTGCCTTTGTTATATCCAACTTTTCAAAACCACGAGTATGCATTCTCAAACCGACCACAGCACGGTAAGTATGCAACTTCAAACTACCCCTGCATACTACAATAACATCTTGAAAATTGGGTACTTTTTGTCAACGCAGCTTCAATCGACTGCTGATGTTTTTGTCGATCTTTATCAAGATGAACTGCCGCTTCAGGTTCGTCAGGCTCTTTTTTCGTTCCTGCTTCTGACACTTTAAAATCAGTGAATTGCTGAGCATTGACAGAAAGCGATGGACTTGTCAGAATACTTCTCTGAAATTTAAAATGGTTATCTACTCCTTCCACTTATATACGTTTTGGGTTGTTATTAAGTTAATTAAATGTGTCCCGAACTGATGATACTTCTGCATGAAAGAGTAAACTGCGTAAACGATTTATGATTAGTTTCATGAGTACGGATATTCTAGACTAGCAGACATATAGTATTAATGACAGAACTGTCTGAGAAATTTTTGTAATCGAATTTTTTTCCATCTCTAAAATAACTTAACTTTCATATATCTCTAAAATAACTTAACATTTTCCCATCTCTAAAATAACTTAACTTTCATATACTTAATTTCATTCCAACTGAGAAGACAATTCAATTATTTTAAAATGAAAGCTGCAAAACTTACACATTCAGTTGTACTCATGGAGCTAATCCTTCGGAACTCAGTTAGTCTGTTATGATCCATGCGTGATAAGTAATGAGGTATTGGTGCTGCTTCCACTGCTCGCTCCTCATAACGTCGACTTATTTCATTTGCTCAAAAATAAAATATTCTATTATTTTCGATAATGTGTCACCTCTTTAATTTGTACACTTCCAGTAAAATTGGGCATAATATGAAATACAATTAATTAATTCTCCTTAACTCTACTGAGTAATCTGCCCGTGTGTGTCTATGAAACAAAACCAGTACCAGTAGTCCCTATAAACAAATAAATGGAAGTAAAAAATGAAACGTACCATACGGATCAACGATACACGTAATTGTTTGTCCCATAACCGAAGTACCGTTATTTTTTGCAACAAAAGACTCGGCTTTGCCGACATCCTGGAAGACAACGTATGCCATACCCAAATGTTTTTTTGTTCTAGGATGCATATACACGAATACTTCAATAACTTGACCTGTCTTTCTGAAAATGTTGGAATATCATAAATGTCAGACAGGCTTTGAATTTTTTATTCATTATACAAGTATACAACTTTAAGTAAATTTATTTTCCTGGCAGATCCCAATTCTTCATCATGAGAAAAAATTATTTTAAAGAAAATTTAAAAGACCTACTGGCACATATCACTCAGAAATGCGTGGTTTATGTTATCGTTCAAACCAAATATAGAAACTTCACGCTTTGGTTGTGGTCCAACTGAGTTATTATCCAACTAAAAAGACATTTTATGAAGACTACAAGTTTGGAAACCACTTAGTTCTTTTCAAAATTATTTTCTATTAAACTAAATGCAGTTAAATGCAGTTGGAAAAAAACATTAATAAACTTTACAAAAATCATAACGCAAAAAAAGATTAAGCACGTGGTTCAAATATAATCTCAGAAAAAAAACAAACTTACAACAAAAGAAGGCAATGGAAGATCAATTGATTCCACAGTACGAAATCTTGTTAGCGGATTTCTCGGGTCACCCAGTGTATGCACATTGTACTAAAATTATTCATTTTGCTCTGAAGAATTAAATTCATCAGATATCAAACAAATGAAACTCACTCTGTGTACAACTTCTATTATCATGATTGCAATATTACGCCATTCACTCTTTGCAAGACTTATTAATTTATTAAATTAATTAAATTGAAAAACGCATTTAATTCCGTCTCCATAGCTGATAAAAACCAACAATAAACTTTCATTCCGAACCGTTGCAGATCGTAAAATTAATTTATCAAGAAAAAACTAATTTTAAAAATTTCCTTAAATCACGCATCAACATTAATATATATATATATATATAATTCTGCAATTTTATTGAACAAATGACTTGATTTTTCTTGAACCTAGATGTAGTCCAATTATTGTTCTACTCAGAAATAAATTTTTCTCCCTGCGTTTTATAACAAGAAGGTCTTATAACCAGGATAAACTTATGCGCAGAAAAATTATACGAATTCATTTTATAAATCTGTTGGGAAGAATAATTACGGACCAAGCGGTTTGGAAGTTTATTGTTGATTTTTTTATTCCTTATTTCATTATTTGCACGAATATGTATTAAATTATTAAACCACATTTGTTCCAGCCACAATGATAGAAACTGGTGACAACCTTTGGATCATCCTTGCAGATGCCGTCGCACCGAAAAATTACATGTTTTGCATCAATGTTAATAGCCTTCCAAGCGATTTTGTGGTGAATATGATGTGCTGTTTCTGATGACGAACGCGATCGACTTGATCCTCCCGCTGCCATTCTACCTTCTAATAAAGTTTATTCTTTGGAATATTAAATGATAACTCAAAAATGAGTATTTCATTAGAAAGATATTTTAAAAAATAAAATCAATGAAATATATTAAAACACAAAAAATTGTAATAATCTTTCACCAGTCATCACGTCATAGGAAATTATCGCTCTTGAAGATGCACAATTTCATTCACCGACAAAAGTGAACAAAATTTTCAAAGCTGCCATTACTAACCTATTTTAAAATGGCCCTGCACCCAACCAACCGCTGCACAACCACAAATCACAATTTTTAATGCTAATTTTTATTTATCTCTATTTATCGGTGAATTACAGTATCTCGCTGAATTCGGCATACATTATAATGAATAGAAAATTTTGGCAATTTAGCATTTTCGTTTTTCCTTAATCTTCTTTGACCCCATTCTCTTATTAAATATATCGTAGCTTCATCAGAGACTTCCTCTTCCCTCCACTGAACTTTCACTGTCGAAATACCTTACATTATCTTATTTTACGTAAAGATGTCTTTATATTTTTCGTTTCATTTGTTAAAAATGACTAAAATTCTATGCTTTATCGTATTCATCGCTTCAAACACTTCATGATATCTTAACTTTTTTTATTGCTTCAAATTTGAAATAGTTTTATAGAATCCACCAAAATCATGGAGTTGCGCATATCACTATTAGCAGTGATTTGAATTAACACTTATTTTGTACATTTATTGATTCATTAATAAGAAACTTACAAATGATACATTTTAGTCTCAAATTTTAACTGAAATTTTGAGTCTATTAAAATTGTTTGTTAATAGCAAGTCAAACCATTTCGATGATGCAAGACGCCTTCATGTGCATCCATTCAGAAAATCCAGCAAGTTAGCAAAAGCATATCACCACTTTATTGTTTTCGGTTTACTCATGACCATCCAAGTTGATTTTGTCCTGTAAATCATTCTTAAAATTACTCTATCACGCGGCACATCCGAGAAGATCTGGAAGTTAACAGCTACAAAATCCTTTGAAGAATAAAACTCTTTGATTAAATAAATTAGGAAGAAGTGACTAAACAACCATTTCCGGAACGTAAAGTCACAAAACACCGCCACCGATTCCGCACTACAGAGCCGATACAGCCACAAACGAACCACGAGGACTGTCGTGCCATTAAATTTATACATTCCGAAAAAAAAATTACTGGCAGACAACAAACGCTGCCGGATGCTAAACGCATACAGCAGCTCATAACTTTATGTTTTATTCAGTGTGTTATTTTCGATAATTGTATGAGTGACGAGAGATTGCTTGTGGGGAAGAGTTAGGAGTGAAATAGTTTCTTCATCGAGATGCTTTTCCCATCCTTCATTCTGAGAGATCATGTGGGCGGGTAATGGAAGTAACCGGTTGGCAAATATGACAACCTTTCTCGGTTACAAAACTTCATCTTCAGGCGGATCAAACTTCGCTATTTCTCCCTTGCTCAAGAGTGATCTAAAAGTATATTCTCTTGAGATTTAACCATTTCGAGCATTTTCTTTTCTTCTTGCTAAGATCCTATTTCTTTTTCATAAAATAGAAAACAATAGTTATTTTATCTTCTATGTATAGTGACATGGTATTTTTTTGTCTTTTTGAGATAGTTTTTGACAGTTTTGAATCTGATTTATGGATTAAACGTTTTATCAACCTGGCATAGTTCTACCGAGTGATATGAAGTCCAAGATGAAACAGGCCTTTATAGTCTTCTATGAAACATCCTCCATGAAAATTTCATGACTTTATTCAAAATAAGAGCTGAATTTATTGCGGATGAATTCCATTCAGACTGGTTATGTCTCGCGAAATTTTTCACACAGCTTTGCGAATGAATTGTCGGGAAAAAGAATTTATGCAGCATGTTTTTCGGAGACATGAAGCTATATAATTTTTGTCCTTAATGCTAAAATTTTAAACAATAAAAAAGGAACAAGTTCTAACCATATGGTAGAAGATAATTCAAAGGTTGAGAAAGTTCACTCTATGGACTAATATTTCCTCGAGTAACTCTACATAAGGAAGACGACAGAATAAATTTTATATGCAAAAGGATTTATTATCCACTCACTTCAAATTTAAATAAATTGGTCTGATATCTACAATTACTCAAATTCCTAAAAAAGTTATATATATTACATACAAAAAAAATTACTGGATAAAAGCCATATCATTTTAAATGCGTCCCAACATTGCTTGCAGTCGACAAAATCCGAACATAATCAGATTTATCATTAGAACATATTATATCTGCGCACGTATTTGTTCCAATGATGAACAGTATCAAATATGAGTAGAATTACTTTTGTTTTAATTTCCTCCAAGTTAAGATTCAAGAAAAACAGAAACAGAGATTCGAATGATTTTAAAAAACGCAGGCAAATAAGCCAATAATAAAAACAATCACTCGATTAATGTGACATTCTTCGCCGTATAAACATTCGTTTCAAATATATCTTGACATTTGTTATATCGACTTCTCAGCCGTGAACACAGATAACTGCTAGTCATCTAAATGAAATAGAAATTATTATCTGCATTCTTTAATAAATAAGAATGATGCCATAGGTTCGTTATGTGTACAGCTGCATAGTAATAAACGGATGCAGCAACAATCCGAATGGTTTAAGGTCGAATGAATAGTTTCAACAGGATAACTGGAAATTCTAACAGTATAGGGAAAAAATTTTGCTGTAGATCAAAATAAAGGAGTAAATTAAAAACAAGAAAGAAAACCTGTTTCTGTGGGTCTATCACACTCAACTGAGATGGTTCACAAGCTAAATTCTTGTCAACTACGCATCTTCCATCTGGAAAGACCTGGAAAAATTATTCTAAGGAAATGCTTATTCATTTAGTCAAACTCTCAAAACTATAAAGAACAATTTCCAGTATTTTTTTGAAAGTCTCTTCTCTCCCAAAAAACTACGCATCAATAAATATCAGATATCAGTTCTTGGTATATACCATTAATGTAAAATTTTCCACATAGAACCTCTATTTTAAGACTAAAAATGACATTTTTATGCTTACTTCCAAAGCATTCACGTCGTCAATTGTTGGTTCACCATTCGGAAAAGAAAGTGGACGTACTTCAATGATATGTTTTAACGGCCATAATTCTCTATTCTGTGAAGCGGCATTTTTGAAAATAAACATTTTACCAGGCTGAAAAGAATTTTGGGAGTATACGTTGAATAAATCACTTTACAGAAAAAATGCGTCTATCCACGAATAATTCCATTCGAGTTATTCTACAAAACAAATCTTCAAGATAGAAAAATTTGCACTGTCTTCCTTTATTCACTTTCAACAACAATTAGTAAACTATTAATCGCAATGTCCATCATTCACGAAGTATATAATTCTAAGTATTAAGCAAATTACTTAAGGGTATAGGATTCTTGTGGTATTAAACAGGAAATGAACATCCATTATGACCACGTCAAGTAACTGCTCCTAGAATTCAAATTAAAAAGCTGAGAAATAAAAACAATACTTCTCCAAAAAAACTACATTTTCTTCACAATAATTGATCAGCAATCACTTACTTCGGCATCTACACCAAATAATTTTTCAATTTTTTTTTTGATATATATCGGACTTCTCGAGTAATTTCTATATATCCACACCAACCAAAGTTTTGGTGGTTTGCCTTCCATCTGAAAAAGTTTAGTCAATTTTTCTCAATTTACTCATCTTAAATACATAAATTATAATTTCGATTATTTGTAAATATATTCAAAAATAGAGTATGGAATAACACTAATTTCTACAAATAATCTATAAAAAATTATTTCTGGCAAATGTCTTTTTCATTCAGCCAAATTATTCTTTATTAAACTCTGAATAATAATTGGAAACCTTCTTTAGATCTGCAGAAATTTTAACTGCGGCAAAATTCTCTTGTCAAATACAAATTTATTAAAGGAGAAAAACCTTTTCAGGGAAATGCTCTGGCCCAGCCATATGCTTTTCGTAATCGAATTCTTTTGAGATATCATTTCTGCGCGGAAGATACCGGTACCAATGCCCCGTTTTTTTGTACACCCACTGATCTACAACAATTACGAAAATTTTTCAAGTGAAAAAAATTCGTTTAAAAAAAATAAATTTTTCAGATTCTTGCGATGGTTTTTATAGAAAAGTTCCCAGCTTCTTGCAATATGTAGCTCAACAGCTAAGTAAAATTTTTTAAAAATGAAAAAAATCAATTCTCTGCCATAATGAACAAAAATGAACAACAAAAGAAATACGAAAAAAAAATGAAATTCTAATTAGCCACTATTAATTGAGAAGCGACAATGAGGAAAATGTAATTCAGATAAGAATTCACGAATCTGATAAGATGAACCTACTTGCATTTTTACATATAAAAATGAGAGTAGATCTATGCAACTTGAGATAGATACATGAATAAAATGATCAATTTTTTAATATAAGAAATTCGAGATAATGCGATGTTGGCAAAGCCCAGAAGCAAACATTTAAAGTTTATATGCTAAAATCACCATAACTTACTTCTAATCACTTTGGCCATCGTTCATCTGAAACGAGAGGGTGCGCAGCTTTCAGTAGAATGAAAGAAACCAAAAGAAATCCTGAAATGATATTTTTGTTAGATGTCTGTTAAAACTGAAATTCATGTCATCAATAAATGAAATATTTCACTGTAGCTAATGACACCGGATATTTCATTTCATATCAGTGAAGATTTCACAGTTAATCGATCAAAAACTGCAATCAATCTTTCGTATGATTAGACGTTTTTTCGTCGTTCTTAATAAAAGATTGCGCACTCTTCAGTAAAAATCTACAAATTTAATCCCGGAAATGCTACTTCTTGCATCATATGTTTCTAAAATCCTAAATAAAAGTTCATCGTTCTCGTTAACCTATTCCTAAAACAATGCTCAAATTATGCTGCAGGTACACCGTCCCATTCGATCCAATCATTTTAGATGTATTCCAAATTTTTTTTTGCTATCGCAGAAGTTTGTTGCCTGTAATGTTGCATCCCATAACTGCTAATATCCATGATTTCGCGGGAGTATTCCTCTTCAACTCCCATTGGATGCACCACTCGCAACACAAAAATACATAAGTAAGGTGACATCTGACCTCTGTAAAGATACAGTTTACTCAAACGAATCTCTGAAATTCGCACGCTGAGTACGAACCTGTTGTTCAATGCTGTACGTGGTTTGCATCTGACTTGGCAAGTTTTGTGATTAGTCCTCGTTATGTCACTTGTTGACCTCTAAGTGGTCAACATAAAGGAATTGAGAACAGCTTCTCGAAGAATTCTGTGGCTACATGCTAGTTCTGATATTTATGTGCCTTTTAGCTGCATACTATTTCTTCCCTGTATGTGCCCTCGAGCTATATTCTCTTCTCGATCATTACAACTATTTAGCTTATTTGTGCAACTTCCTTATTTACAAAATATTTGCAATGACCTCGAAAGCAATAGGCATATTAGAATCTTTCGGGACTATTCGATTTCAGTAGGTTTTTGTCATTATCATTTAAGTGATATGTGATAATACTCTGTGTGTTTAACGAATTATCTTTATTGACAACTGAAGCATAACAGAAATAGACGAGAAACAAATATAGTGTTAAGGGATGATGAAAGATGGAAGGGATAGAGGGGAAGATGAAGTAATGGTATAATTGGAGGAGGAAAGTTTTGTTTCTTAGCTTACTGTTTGGCTCGAACGCTGAATATGAGTGGCTCGTTCCTGAAAAATTTTCCAATATATAAATTAATCAGATTTGATTTATAAAAAAACATACATTGAATAAAGTTTTTAAAGTGAAGCAATGTATTATTTGAAAAGATGAACCTCGCCTTCCTTATTGTAAAGGATAGTTTGCACATTACTTCCCACCCCAAATGTCTCTTCACCCTCGAAGATAAGCTGTTCGGGTGGTGCATGAATTCCGCCTTGACCACGGCTCCAAATCTGAAATTTTTTGAATTTTAGGCGCATGTTTTTTTTTTTCAGCAGAAAATAATTGTGAGAATCGCTGTGCAAAGTCTTACTTTAACAGTTTTACTTGGTTTCAATATGAAATCTCTTGGAAGTGTATAAACAATTTCACGTTTTCCATCAATCTTTCTCTTTAGCTTCCATTCACCTATCGGTTCCTCTTTGGAACGATGTGTATTCTCAAGGACTATGAATTTACCATCCGGTGATGTTTCCTGAATGGAAACATTACCCTTCGCTGAGCGGGTATATGATGTACGAGATGATGTTTCACCTTTTACCACACGCATTGTTTCTGTAAGGAAAAAAAAAATGAAGGAAACTATCAGCGATTCAAAATAACTCTCAAGATTCTGGATAACAGGATCATGTCGATATTTAACATCATTATTTTTCCATTTAAAGACAGGAATATAAACTGCTTACAAAATTTAATCCTTATTTGGAATTTGAACTGACAACTAACTGAGTCATCGAAAAGTAGCATATACTTCTCATTGTCATTTTTATCTTTAAACATAGACAAAGGATCGCTTTATCAATCATCACTAATTAATTTGCTCAATCAGTTCTCATAATGAAGATGGAAATACCAGTGTCAGCGACTTCGTTGATGCCTGTAGTGCGAACGACCTGTTCAACCAGTTGTTTCAGTCCTGGCCCATCACCTTCGCCTTCCAACATCTTTCTATAAATCGCTATCTCGGCATCCAAAGTCTACAATAAATCTTAATTTAATTCTGAAAGAAAAAAAGAAATTTCAAATTGCTCGATCGTGGTCTGCAGTCCTCATCATATTTCACCAGAGGTCTCAACTTTCTCCTCAGCTTATCATCTATTACATGTGTTATTGTTTACCTGTTTGGTGTCCAATAACATTTGCAGTTCAACCATCAACGCTTGGCATTCTTCACGCATCTTACGGATTTGCGCATCACGGTCATTAAGCGCTGCTTCGTATGAGCGCTGATCATCTTCAAGCTGGAAGTTTAGTTCCTGGATTTGCTTCTCGAGCAGGGAGTTCTGCAAATACCAATATAATTTATAAAATTGGAAAAGAAAATTAAAAACCATGACTGTAGTGTGATGTGATCATATAAGTCCTGGTAACATAATTACGATAATTATAAATTTTTAATAGTGTCATTAATTTCCTGAATCCAAGAATTAAAAGTTGCTTTTAATAAAACAATCAAAATAAGTTTTCTACATTTATTTCGCTGATTTAATCAAAACTAACTAAAAATAAACGATAAATTTCGATACTATTAGGTTGAAGGTCATGAACTCACTCTTCCCTCCAAATCCGCCAATTTTCCTCGTAAATCACCCAGTTGTACACGGAGTCGCTTAACTTCTTCTCTCTGATAACCTTGCTCCATAGTTTGACGTGCAGATTGCGTTTGAATTTCTTGCACTTTCAATTTGTACCACGATTCCATGTCATTGCGGTTGGCACTTGTCATCTACAAAAAAAGGGAACATTAAACTGATTCTTAATATTTGTCAATGTTCAGTTTCTCCTAAAATTCATTTTTTTCTTCAGTTTTCAGCTTCAGTTTCAAAATTCAGTTCCTCCAAAACTGTCATAAAATACTACAATTAACGGAACGAATAACTTCAAAAACTAAAAAGACTATCTGAATAATCATTTATTGATGAACGACAAAACAGTACATCGAATACAATGGACTTTCTGAAAGAAGCTTATCATACTAACCATCATATTGAATTTTAACTACCCCAATCGACTAGGTTATCAACTGATAATCTGACGAAAAGAAAAATGAGACTAAAGTATGCTATGCTGAGACTTTCGATGAAATGTTTCCTTTTCAGAAAAATTTTAAAGCCATATTTTATTATTTTGAATAACAAACCTGATCATATTCGTTACGAATATCACGAATAGCCGATGAGAGCTCATTTTTGAAGAATTCACGATTCTCGCTGGTGGTGTCACGTGCTGCCATCGCCTGTAAATCACGAATTTCCTGATCTTGCACACGGCGGATGAAATCAATTTCTTCCTGAAGCGTTTGCACTTGATTTTGATAATCGATACGATTCAATGTCTCCTGATCCAAATCCTGAAAATTGTTTTTTTGTTTTTACTGTAAAGATCGTTAAATGTATATATTAACTTCAGAATTTCTCAATGGAAATATTGTTTTTATGAAGTCCCGGGAAGAGAATTTGTTTACTTTTCTCTCTGTACTTTTCAACAATTCTAAATCAAACACTATCTGAAAATGAGATTTGCAATGTTTCAGATACCATCGAGAAATTATGATCAAAAAATTGAAATTATGAAATTTCACTCCCTCTTTATACTTTTAGGCATGAAAAGAAATAAAAGCGATGACTTACTGTTCGTGCTCGCTGTAATTCGCTCACAAGTCGTTGATTTTCTTTTTTTATTCGTGAAATTTCTTCTTCCAATAGAGCAATTCGTCGACGTAAAAGATTGATTTCAGCTTCGATATTTGATAGTGCAACGAGAAGTTCATCAATTTTGTCACGATCAGTCAGACGTGCCTTCGTTGCTTCATCGAATCTGCAACAGGTAAAAAACTATATATATGAAATTTTTTGATAACTTTTTTAGTTTCAACTTTTTCAGTTAATTTTTTTTTTCATTTCATTATGTGCAAGTTAAAAAATTAACTGCTACCTGAGTAATACCCGAAAATCATTTCACTATTTGCATGTTGTACATTTTTTTTTAATTTTCAAATTAAACATGGAATTACAACCAATGCAGAAAGTAGCTGATGTTTTTCAGTGTATTTGAATCTGAATTTGAAATTTTTTTCAAAAATCAAAGAAGATCAAAACTCTCATCTGGTCTTTCTTTTTCTTATAAGTCGAAAAATAAGTGCCAAACTTCGATGCATCTTTTACAATGCATCACTTAGCCTTATCATTTATCATTTAGCCCAAATCTTCCCACTAACCATTTTTTACTTGGCTTATTTCCTCTTTCCTAATTTATACGACCTGATAGAGAATAAGGTCAGTAAATCATCTTTATCTCTTCGGGTTTATAATTCGCTTCAACTTATCATCGTCGATCGATCGCTAATCTATCCTTTATTCTCATTAATTAAAGTAGTAACTGCAAATTAAGGAAAGAATTTCGGGAACACACTTTCTACGATATTCCGCCAGTTCTTCCTGCATTTTCTTAATTTGCTTTTCCAGTTCATCCCGCTGCTTTCCTGTATCATTGATTACTTTTTGAGCCTCCTGAAAGAATGATAAAACATTTTGTTAAGAAATGTTTTTAATAAAACAATTCATTGCTCTATCATCGCAACTGTAAACTGCGTCACCCTTTTTACCTTTTGAAATTTTCTATTAAATTTGTAATTTTTATTTTATTCCAAATGTACTTTACACACTGTACATAACCATTTTATTATTAATTACTTTAAATTCCAAGTGACAGAGCTAGGGAAACAGAAACTTTGAATAGCGGTTTTGAATATCAGTACATCAGTATCACATTGTAGATCCGGTGGCGTAGAATTGTGGTGCTTTCTGTTTCATTCGCTAAATGGAAAAAATAGAATTTCAGAATTTATAACAAATTTCCTGCTTTCTCTCTTTCTCTCCCTCCTTCTTCCACTTGTCAAATGTTCTTTTTTCGCTTTGTTTTTTGATTTAGTTTTATCATTTTTTTTTTTGGCGATAAATGAGTGTTTCACCAAAAATTTTGTGCATTTTTACGAAATAATGCTATTTTTAATTTAATTTAATTGGCCAATTTTGAATGATTTGCTCGGAATAGTAATTAAAGACACTCACTCATTACGCTAATTAAGAGTCAAATAGTTCAATCTTCCTCCTACTATCTACTACCAAACGGAAAATATAATTGATACCTTAATTGAATTAATTAATATCTTTTGAAGGTACAATGGAGAATTAATATTTAAAATTTACAGAAAGCTCCCCTTCGAACATTATTTTAATACTCGACGTATCTTTTCCCCATCGTCCACGTAACATATCCAAATCAGCATTCAGTTTACGATTCTGTGCTTCCAAGAAACGTACCTGAATTATTAAATATAGCTCAAATTCACATCTTAATGTAACAGTTTTTAAATTTCGTTACAAAACTATAGTTTAAGCAAAGATCCGAACTTTTTCAATGTAATCAGCTAAGCGATCATTTAAATCACTCATTTCCTTCTTCTCTCGTTCACGGGCATCACGAATGGTCGATGCAGCATTCTGACCAAATGGTGACATGCCACTGGTCAATGAAGAGGAACTCATTTCTGTGACCACTTTCACTACTCGGTTACCGGATGCTGCAAAAGTTTATAATTATGAAGCCTTCTAATCAATTTTAAAATTAAACTAGCAATAATGACTTATTTCATTAACTTTCCTACTATTAGACCAAGCAAACAACAACTTTATTCATGTCATCATACTAAATAATATCAAGTTTTTTTTATAAATCAATTCTTATTCGATGCAGTTTTTCTATTAATTATTCCGTTGTTCACCGTATTATAAAAAAGTTTATCAAAGATTATTTCCATAGTAAAATAAATTTTGAGTAACTTTTACTTTTAATTCATTTCAAATGTTTACAATTCACAAAATGCAACTTATGTATTCTCGAAATTATCCCATCTGGCAATACATAGACAATTATTTTTATTATTCAGATTATCAGTTTCAACTGGAGTTATTACTAGTTCAAACAACTTCATAATTATGAAAATTAAAAGTGAAATGAAATGATAAAGTACGAAGTTAGGATAAAGTTAACAGTGAAAAAAGAGGTTCGAGTTGATAAAAGCTTCTCTACAACAGTTCAAAATTGTCTACACCAATTTCAATTATTTTTTCTGACAATTGCGCATAAATCTCTTCTGTCCTCTCATAACCACTCATTTTCCATCTGTTTTATCAGCCTAGGCATTATTCTGTTGTAAATTTTAGCGTATCTGAATTATACATTTTTAGATGCTTTCCCATATTTTGAATTTCAACAATAAAATTAAAGAACTCTGCATTGAAATAAAATTGGTTTAATAAAATTTATTTCATCAATTATGGTGGCGTTTATTGGTCAATTCAAACCATTTCACTACGAAAGAACATTGCAGTTGCCTTCAAATGCTGTTGAATTTTTGTAAATTTTTATTATGAATTTCTGATACTTTATTTCCAATGTTTTTTATATTACGAATTTTATGTTTTTGAATACATGCTTTTTATATTATGAATTTCTGGTACATTTCCGTATTTCCACTTATATAATGCACGAAATTATTCGTGAAACTCAAATTTTAAATTTGTTTTCACCTGAAATTAATCGTCACAAAGCGCAAAAAACTCAATTTATCTTTAAATCGAAAAAACTTCCCACACAATAAGTCCGGTCATTCTGAATCAAGCTCGGAAATTATGCATTCTTCATCTTTTTTCTTTAGTAAATCTTTAAAAAATTTATTTATTACGATACGCAAAAAAAGAAATTAACAAAAACTTACGAAGCCCTCCAAAAGTGCTTGAGCTGGTTGTTGAGCTAATACGGTTGTATCCGGGTCGTGCGGATATTGTGCTACGATATTCACTCATTTTTTTTCACTATGATAAACACAAATTCTGAAGCAACAAAATTTTTCTAATTTAAGGTGGAGTGAATTGAAAAATCAATACGAGCATTTTACAGGTGCAAAGCATTTAAAGCCAATGCTAAAAAAGGACTAATTTTGCGAAAGATTATAAAGCATTGGAAATTGAGAGCATTTGCATTCGTATAAATTGCATGGAAAATTTCAAATGAAACAAAATCAAATGAAACAAAATCAAATGATACTTAATATTTTGTTGGTTATTGAATGAGATTAAGTACGATTTTCTAATTTCTCAAATATTTAAATTCTAATGATACTCATCTTTATCAAAAAAAAAAATTTCCAAAACTGATAAAAGAAAATTTTGAGACATTAACTGTATGAGCATCAATGTGAAATTTTTTAGATAGAAATTAGAAGTTCAAATTTTCAAATTTCGAAAATGTTCCTCTTTCAAAATTAGGTTTTTTTTTTATCTAAATCATTATTTAAAGTATGCAAAATGAGAGTGCAAAAAATTGATTTGTTACCTTTTGAGATTTTTTTTGATAGGGGAATGTTTGATGTATTTACTTCATATCTGCTGTTTACTGCATTTATTTAAACTTTTCCTCATGTTCTGCTTTGTATTTTGAAAAAATAAGTCAATTTAATGTTACAATAACAGATTCTAATTAAATTAACAATGACAAAATAAGAACCACAGCCGAACTGTCTCCACTTCAAACTCTAAATTTTCCTCTCTTTTTGAAAGAGAGTTGAAATTTTGAAAAAAAAAGAAAGAAAAGAAAGCAGTCAGAACTTAGAGTTGTTCCTCACTTATCCATGATTTCAAATTATTTTAATTGCTGAATGTACAATAATTTCTCATACTAAATCTTTTCGATTAGATCCTTCAAAGATTAATTAAAACATCAACAAATGATTGATGATTGACCGAAAATCACTCCATTCAACAAATTGTAGAAATTCCGTGCTGAAATTAAAAGAAGATTTTGAAGGGAAAAAAACCTTTGATTTTTTCTTTTACATTTTTATGTACATTTTTGATAGAACAAAAATTTTTTTTTAATTCAATTCTTAATTAACTAACTTATTATATCAACGTCAAATAGAAAAATAAAATTGCACAGCAAAATGCCACACGTTAATTAATGACCATTAATGACCACATAAAGCATTAAGAAAAAATGACCATTAATGATCATATAAAACATGTTAAAGCACTGAATTTCCTTTTTCTACCAATGCATAAATGTTATTGAAAAAAGAAAATCAAAAAATTTTCTACAATTTCACGAAGAATCGACAATGTCATAAGAATTTCATCGAATGGAGCATTCAAATGATTCAAATTTCCCATCTTTTTTTTCTAAAAAAAAAACCTTGAATTACTCACTGTTCGAAGAATAATGTCACTCTCTTATTTTATAAGCCATAAAATTTTCTACCTCAAAAATTTAAAAATCTGGAAGGATTACAAAATTATCAGATGATTACAGGAAACATTTATTGTATATATTATATACATAGAAATAGAAAACCAAAAGTTACACCATTCAAATATAAACCTTATCAATGAATCGAAGACAAGCAAAGAACAAACCAATTAGAGATTTATTAATTTGGTGATAGATAAATAAATAAATCTTTCTTTCTTTATGAGATGAAGAAAGAGAGAGAAAGAGAGAGAGAGAGAGAGAGAGAGAGAGAGAGAGAGAGAGAGAGAGAGAGAGAGAGAGATGGAATCATTAAACTTTATCTCATCTATCTGCGCACAAATAATGTTTTCAAGCGTCTTAAAAGTTAAAAAAAATAGGCAACTGATGTGAAAATTTTAAAAAAGGAAAAATGATACATAAACCCGTGGTAAGGGATATTTACTCATTGAAATAGAACGGGTTTTCATCACACTTTGAAATGAAAAAAGAAATGAAATTATTTTGTAATAGTTCTGATTTAAGTCTGAAAGGTTGGAGAACAGGAAAAACTGTAATCTGTGGCAGGAAAAAGCAAAATATACAAATATCATATGTACATTATTGCATAGAACAATTTCTTCTTGACCTTTGACTCTATCTGATTTGAACTGAATGTTAGAATGTACTCAGCAAAGTATAGTTTTCATGATGGAAAAAAAAGTCTCAGAGTGTTACCCACTCGTATCTCCTTGCTAACTCCAAATTTATCCAATATTTCACATTTCAATTGCTCCCGGAAAAATTGCTGTACCGGATGAAGGATGTGCAACCGATCGGTACGAATTTAATGTGAAATAATGTGGTTGGAGACAAACTGAATAACAAAAACGAAGGGTGGAGCAATAAGGGACCTTCGCTATCAGTCAAGGACATTATCAACCCGCCATCACCGCCTTTAACCATTCAATCATACAATTTGCGCTATCCAATAAAATTGATGACTTTTGCTGGTTGGTATAAGAAAACGGGGAACTGTACGGGCCTCGATCACATCACGGCGACATAAGCAGCAACCTCAAATGCACCCAATCTCATCACAACGGCGCCATTTTTTCTTTCATTCGGTTACTTTTTCCGATTGGGAAAATATATTCCTTCAAATGTGTTACTCAAATTAACGAATAATTCGATATTGCTAAAAAAAAATTATAATAACGGAAATGATAAAATTAGCGGGAAATTAATTGATAATTAGGAATAATCGTTTAGGTAAAAATTATTTCGCTACACATGGCTAAATTAGTTTAACTGAAAGCTGAACATTAGCAAAAGATGGAATTGTTAGGAGTATTTTAATTAGCTTGCTTGATATGTATGTATGAGATTAAATTAGAATTGATTTCAGTCTTCCTAATTTCAGTCACAAAACGAAAATATTGCTGACAGTCAAACAAGTTAAGCAGTTTAACAAGAGGAGAAGGCAATTTTTCTCTGTATACCCATCAGCGTAACTTTTTTCCAATCCAATATGTAAGAAAAAAAATTAAATTTGACTGTCCTTCGTTTGCGAAAGACTATTATTATGAGGACAATTGTTATTGCTTCTGTTGATCAAAAAACCCTATTCACTTATTTCTCGGGAATCGAGAAAGAATGATATGAAAGAACGGGACTTAAACGAGAACTGACGAATTATATATTCCATGCATGGTTTGCACCATGTTATTTCCATTTTTGAATAAAATTGTCGGACGAAAAAAAAGCTTGAAGATGAATTGATTTCGAATTCATTTTAGCAGAATAATGATAAATGATGTTCAACTTATTATCATTATTATTATTGTGATTCGAAATAGGTCATTGAAATTTTTGTGCATTATTGCAATTTTTTCTAAAACAGATAGAAAAATTGTGAAAAAAACTCGGGAAGTGAAGAAAGATTTAAAAAGGCATAATCGAAACTTACTAAGTTATTTATTTTTGCCTATTTTTCAGACTCAAAAATCGCTGATAGATTGAATTGACAGCAAATCACGTAAAGTGAAAAAGAGAGATGATTAAATTAGTGGATGAGAATGTAAGGACATCTGAAATATAACTTTGTAGAATATTGATTGATAATAATGACCTTTGAACCACTATGTAACTTGTTTTATTCTCTTGCACCTGGAAAAGATCACTTAGATCATGCTAGATATCTTTAAATTAAATGAACATTCTATTAACGTTGATTAAAAGATTGAAGCATGCTATTTATCGAATATTGTTCAATGCGCTTTTTGCATAAAATCACTTGATACAAAGAAACAATTTTATTAGAAGAAAACAGGAACAACAATAAAACAAATTGTTAGATTTAACCTATCTCCTACTGATAAGTGATTCATCGATTCATCGGCGATGAGTGACTCATCGAATGAAAATATATTTGAATGGAATGGGCCTAAACGGACTGTCAACATTGACTCATTCCTTTAAAAAATTCAATCTTTCATTTTCCATGAATTTTTCAAGGGCGCTGAACTAAAATGCACTCCATTGGATGAACTTGACATTCCGCCTTGCCAGAGTTTAAACAAACCTCCTGCGCTTTAAACACAGACCTGTCAATTGAATCGATTTTTTCCTTGATCTCACCTATTCATCCATATATACCAATCAATGAAGGTCAAAAAATTGTTACAACCAGAAAGACTATGATAGATTGCTAAAAAAAATTGACAAAGGAAAAGACGAAACAAAGCGTTATTATGTACAGTTTTGAAAGTAAAACTTATTCTTGAAAAATTAAAGAAAGATAATTTCAAACAGTTCATAATTATATTATTAAATAGTAATTTCACTTTAAATTAAAAAGTTGAAGAAGTAAGTTAGGCGGATTATGTATAGGAAATAAGTTAAAGTAAACTGAATGTGTTGAAGAAAAATAAAATGAAGCATTGATAAATTAAGAAAAAAATTGAAGGTGTACTGATAAGGTTAAATATGCTCCCCTAAAATTTTGATAAAATACGAAATGAATAAAAAAAGGAAGTGCTCTTTTAATGTCTTCTACAGTCTATGATTTTCTTAACTGTTCATTTTCAATTCTCCTTTTACACCTCAAAACTTCTTTTTAAGGGATTCGATGTAAAAAGAAAAAAATTCAAGTAATTCAACGTCAGTTTATTTTTATGTCGAGAAAAATAGACCTACGGCATTTTTTCTGATTTGCTCTTTTCTTTCCATTTTATTAGTCTTTGCTAGCATTCTGACTCATCCATCTTAAAAGTTTCTTATCTAAGATTACTTAGTTGTGGAATTTTTATGAAATTTTAAATGACTTGCTATCAAAAGTATCTCCCTCCTTCTCTCTTTCTCTCTATCTCTCTCCGTTCAGATAAGCAAATCAAATAAAGTAAATTCATCAATTATGTCTATCTGGAGACAATCAGAAGGAAGAAAAATGATTTCACAAAGGCTATAAACACAAATGGTACTACCATTTGCATAAATGAGATGGAATAAAAAAAAAAGTGACAAATAAAACGGGCAGCTGTTGTGCATTACGATTAAGATAGCATCGCACACTATACAGCTT